CGAAATGAAGTACTTGACAGTGGATGTCAGGACCTGGGGCTCAGGCCTGGGATTGCTCTCCCCCTAGAAGTGACTCCCAGTGGTAGGTATCAGCCTGGCCTGCCCATGTGTTCCAGCTCAAATCATGCTGCCCCCTCTGGCGCCACACCACTCCCCCTCCTGAATTCCCAGATGGCTGTAATTAAAGTTTGCTTTGCTTCCATTTTCTCAAAATAAGCCTGGCCTACCCACCAGGCCAGTACCGGATGCAGACCGGCTTGGTTTATGGCAGTCCCATGTCTCGACAGGGTAGATGTGCCTTAGCACCTGGCACATGGCTCAGGGGCTCTCCCAGCCACTACATCTTCAGGTGCCAAGTCCTGGGAGGCAAATCTCTGCATCCCCATGAGAATCTTTATCCCTTTTCTGGAAACCCTGTCTCCTGGGCACCCAGGGAGCGCGGGGGAAGGGTACTTGGCTCTACATAACCTTCCTGAGGGCCCGAGGACCACAAGAGATCTGACTGTTTTCTGTGTGGAGATGGCCCCTTTTCTCTGAGCCGCAGGCTTCTCATTAGTGGAGTTCATACCACAGTGGGACTGGAGCGTCAGACAGTAGGCAGGTGTTCTCGGCCGGCACATAGTAGGTGTTCAGCTGAGCCGGGAAGCATGGAAGGTTGTTGATTGTAAGGAAATCGCCCCACACTAGCTCAGGATGGAATAGAAATGGGTTAAATTAAGATGTAAGGGTTAATTAATAAGAAGCCTAAGCTAATAGGCCAAGCAATGTTTTAATTAATACAGTTTCTGTGTGATTATTTTGGGCCTGGGTTTCCAGGAAACCAATAAGTAGTCTCTGCTTACAGAAGTGAGGGAGTTGGAGAGAACAACATATTTTTTTTTTTGTTTATTTGTTTTTTCGAGACAGGGTTTCTCTGTTGTTTTGGAACCTTTCCTGGAACTAGCTCTTGTAGACCAGGCTGGTCTCGAACTCAGAGATCTGCCTGCCTCTGCCTCCCGAGTGCTGGGATTAAAGGCATGCGCCACCACCACCGCCTGGCCGGGAAAACAACATTTGAGGTAGAGGGACATTACACTGGGTTGGCCTAGAGCTAAGGTGCATCACCCTGGAATGACTCTGGCCCCCCAGAGCCCACAGGAGCCTGGGTGGCCGTGGGTTGAATGCCTGTCAACCGTATATTGGGGCCATTTCCTTTCCCAGCCTTTCAGGCTGCTTTCCTCACAGAGCAGGATGGAGTTGCTCTTCTAATTAAGTCTCCAACAAACCATCCCGTGGGGCCCTCTGATGTTGCCTCAGCACCTCTCACCTCCTGGCTTGGCAAGGAAGGAGCCACAACGCTCCCCAGCGCAGACACCATGCTTGCTCACAAGCAATGCCAGTGACCCTCTTTTTCCGAGGCAGCCTCCCTGGCAGCCACCTTTGAAGTGTCTTCTGGCCCCCTCCTGGGAGGCGTCTGACTGTTCTTTGTTTACTGGGTTTGCAGCACCTGTGTCCACCCTAGTGGGTGCACATCTGGGCTGGGGTCCCAGTTGCAGAGCCAGCTGGGCACCACCTGACCTTGCCTAGGCCCCTGCCTAGGCCCCTGCCCACCCTCCTATGAAGGGCTCAGAAGCCCGATGCCAACTGTGCTGCCACGGAAATTTAGAAAACATCTTAAAACGGAACCTGGCAAGGCGGTTGCTTTTTAAAAAGTTTCGTAAAGCTGGGTTCTCTCCAATTTTAAATTAGAACAAGCTTCAGGAAAGAAAATTGGGGAAAACAGAGGGAAACTGAAGGAGGAACAGTTGCGCTGAGTTCCGAGGACAAACATGCTCACCAATTAGACGGCTGTCTTTGGGGCCTGTGCCTTTTGTTTGGTTTTTCCGAGACAGTCCCAGGCAGCCCAGCCAGCCTTGAACTCCCTGTATAGCCAAGGACGGCTTTGAACTCATGACTCTCCTGCCTCCACCTCCCAAGTGCTGAGGTGACAAGCGTGCACCACCGCATCTGACTGGAACCTAGTCTTTTAATTTTTTTTTTAATAATTTCTGTGTGTGGTTTCTGTGTGTGTGCACACGAGGAGGCCGACTTGGGGTGTTGTTCCTCAGTGGCTGTCTACTTTGCTTCTTGAGACAGGAGTCAAGGCTCAAGGATTCAAGTTGGCTGACTGGCCAATGAGCCCCAGGGTTATCCTGTGTCCACCCCGACTTCTGGCTACAGGCATGTATCCCAGCACCCAGTTCTTTACGCTAAGGATTCTAACTCAGACCCTGGCGCTATCCGTCAGGGTCTCCTTTATGACCCGCACAGTGCCTTGGGTCTTTTCTGCTTTACCATTTTGACTCTAACTTTCCTGGTGTCTTCCACTCTGCTGTCGGTCACTGGCTTTGGTCACGGTGAGAACCGCTGTCCTGGAGGTCCCTTTAGCCGTTTCTTCAGATCCTCAGTTTTCCCAAGTCTATGCAATGCCTTGATGATTGGTCTGCACTTTTTTAGGCCACGACCCTCCCACCCACGAAGGCCTTTTTTGTCAGTTGCTGGGAATATTCCTGCGGCTCCTCATCCCTGTCACCAAACTGCTTCCCCAAAGGGACAGTATATTCACTCTAAATTTTCCTTTTGTTGTGGGGAAATACACATAGCTTAGGAGTGGATCCACTTTTAAGTGTGTGTAGTTTGGGGTCACAAACACATTCCTCCTGCTCTGAAGCTGTTCCGAGGGCTTTCAACTTAAGAAACAGAGTAAGCTGCCCTCCTTCAGTCCCTGGAACCCCTTTTAAATGTATATTTTTTTAAAAAAATATTTGTTTTACTGTTTAATTGTGTATATGAGTGCATATGTCTGTGTGTGGGCATGTACACAGGAGCAAAGGTGCCAAGGAGGCCAGAGAGGTGTCGGGTCCCTTGGTGCTAGAGTTACGGGCAGTTGTGAACAGCCCAGTGCTGGGAACTCTAGTACTCTGTGAGAGCCAAATACCAGGTCCTGTACTACCGGCATGTGTGTGTGGTGTGTGTGCGGTGTGGCGTGTGTGTGTGTGTGTGTGGTGCATGTGTGGTGCATGTGGGGGGTGTGGAAGTGTTTGTGTGTAGTGTGTGTGCTGTGTGTGTGTGGTATGCATGTGATGTATGTGTGTGTGATGTGTGTGTATGTGGTGTGTGTGGTATGTATATGTGAGGGTGCGTGTGTGTATATGTGTGTAGTGTGCGTATGTGGTATGTATGGTGTGTGGTGTGTGTGTGTGCATGTGTACATATGGAAGTCAGGGCAGGTCAACAAGTGTCTTCCTTTATCACTTTCCTTGTCGTTGCCTTTCGACAGAGTCCCTCACTGAACCAAAAGCTTGCTGTTAGGCTGGCTGGCACTAAGTGCTTGGGGTCTACCTGTCTTTGCCCTCCCTGGCTCCTGTCCACTCCATTCTGGGGTTACAGGTACTTGCAGCCCTGCTTGACTTTACACGGGTGATGAGATTTGAACTTGGGTCTTCACACTTGCCGAGCGGGTGCTATCTACTGAGCTGCCCTCCAGCCCCTCCTGGCACTCTCTGTGTGTGCGATGCCAGGCATGTCGGCAGTGTTGATCTGACTTGACACACTCCTTCCGTCCAGCACCGCACCCTCGGGGCTTGACTGTACTTTAGCCCAGGGGTCAAGTTGTCCCACTTTCCCAAGCTGAACAACTGTCCCTCGCATGGCAGGACCATCTGTGTGACATGTGCTTGGCTGTCCTCAACCGTGGGTGCTGTGAACACAGATGCACATGTGTCTTCCTTGATGCCTCCCTCAGCTTTTTTAGGATGTGTCACACTGAGCCTGCCAGGCTGTCGGGTAAGGCTGGCTTCTGCTTTTCTAGTGGCCTGCTCCTGTTAGCCACAGTGGTGGCATTTATTAAAACTTACCATACACAGAGTGGCCTCTAGGTTGTAACTTACACTTGCTATTGCCTGGTATGAGTTGTGTGTGTGTGTATGGTGTGTGTGCAGTATGTATGTGGTGTGTGTGTAGTGAGTGTGGTGTGTTGTATGTATGGTGTGTATGGTGTGTGCGTGTGGTGTGTGTATGTGGTGTGTGTGCGGTATGTGTGGTATGCGTGTGTGGTGTGTGTGGTGTGTGTGTGTGATGTGTGTGATGTGTGTGGTGTGTGCATGTGCATGAGAATGCGAAGGGCGCAGCCCAGAGGTACAGAGCTTGCTTAGCTGAGGTGATGTGCTGACTTTGCCTCCCATCACTTGAAAGGAAAAGCGAACAGGTTCACAATCCAGCTCCCCTTAGCTATCATTTCACTTATTACACAGTTTCACCCTGACATGCAAACACTGCTAACCTGTTTCCTGTCTGCGGCTTGGCTATTTCTGGGCACTCAGCGTGAGGTCAGCTAGCAAGGCCTTCTGTTCTAGCGGCTTCGGCATCACCTATCCACGGCCACGACTGGGTGGCGCATTGAGTTCCTAGTGGTAGATCACACCAGTTGGCAGGCATCTGGGCCGTCCTTGCACTGCTGTGGACATGCGCATCTGAGTCTTCGGGGGTCACACGGCTGCTTTTGTGTTGTCCTGGGCCACCAGCCTGTGACTGGAATTCTTGGGCTATATACCAACCCTGTTCAGCATGCTGACCTGACACCAGCTTGCTTCCCAGAGTGCCATTTCCATCCTTACCACCAGTTATTGGGGCCTCACTAACCACACCCCCTCCACGGTACTTAGTGCTAGTCTTTATTTTAATTAATTCATTAATTAACTAAGTATTAGATTTACTTATTGTGCAAAAGCATTCTACACTGCTGGTCAGGGTATAATGGCTCAGACTCTCATACAAACGGGTGAGTGGAGCTGGATAAAAGACAAGTAGCTGGGAAGCCTGTGGTGCCTCCCTCCCCATGTTCTGCTGATTGCATCAGCAATTGATGGTGGCGCTCCTGCCCACAGCTGCAGGGAGTTCCTGCTCCCCGCCCCGCACCCCCTCATTCCAGGGCTGTGTACCCATTCCCTTCTATAAGAGGGTCTGCATCTTCCTGGCTGCAGGAAAGGCCTACGAGATCACCTACGTGAGACTGAGGTTCCACACCAGTCGGCCCGAGAGCTTTGCCATCTACAAACGCACGCGCACCAATGGACCCTGGGAGCCCTACCAGTACTACAGTGCCTCCTGCCAGAAAACCTATGGCCGTCCTGAGGGTCACTCTCTGTGGCCGGGTGAGGATGAGAGGGTGGCCTTCTGTACCTCTGAGTTCAGTGACATCTCCCCCTTGAACGGGGGCAACATTGCCTTCTCCACACTGGAGGGCCGTCCCAGTGCCTACAACTTTGAGGAGAGCCCTGTGCTGCAGGTCAGTGGGCAACAGGACCTGGGGAATCATGGGGAGATGGGCAGGCCTAGGATGGGAGACAGCAGACCAGCCAGAAGAGCTAAGACCTGAGACCTCCTGGCTGTCAAACCTCAAACCCTAGAATCCTTCTGTGGGTGCCTAGTTCTCGCACTTTCACTTTTTTATTTTGTTTTGTCTTGTTTTTTCGAGGCAGGGTTTCTCTATGTAGCCATGATTGTCCTGAACTCACTCTGTAGACCAGGCTGGCCTTGAACTCAGAGATTTGCCTGCCTCTGCCTCCTGAACGCTAGGATTAAAGGTGTGAGCCATTACTGCTCCCTGCTATTTATTTATTTATTCATTTATTTATATTTTAATGGAAGAGAGCCAGTGTGGCAACTTATTCTTGGGATCTCAGCACTGACAGGCTGGAGCAGGACGGTCCTGAGTAGCAGGCCCACCTGCAGCCTGCCTGTTTCCCCATCTATGTGAGGCTGCCTCAGGGATAACTTGGTGGCACAGTCATGGGACTTCCACTGGTGATTCATTTGGTGTCCCCGCCCAGGCCTTGGCTCCCTGGTCCTCAGAGGCCTCAGCATCTCCCAGGGGTCTTTCTGAGAACACAGAGCCCCAGGCTGCAGTGTGGCGTGGAGATTGCATGCTTGCCCAGCACGCACAGGGCCCTGAATTTGAGACCAGCACCACAAACGAGAAGAAACGCAAGGGTCCCTATCTGCACAGCTCAGTGGGGGGAGCATTTGCCTAGCAGGATGGAGGCCCTGGGGTCCCTCCCCAGCCGCATATAATCTGGGTGTGGAGGGGCACACCTGTATAATCCTAGCTCTCGGGAAGTGGAGTTCTGGCCATCTTGGGCTACATGTAAGGCCAGTCTGGGGAGGGGGAGGGAGAAGAAGAAAGGAGGGAGGGGAGGGAAAGGTGGACTTCAGCCTCGCCCCGACCTCACAGCCAGACCTGCCTTCAACAGACCCCTGAAAGCAAGGTGACCTTTGCAAATCCCAGCCGCAGGTGACTTGGAGAGTGACAGGGACCCGCAGCCTCAATGCTGTACAGACGTCTCAGGACTGAGTCCTGCTGGGGTGAGGAGCCACTGTGCCAGGAGCTCATTTTCCATCCTGACGGCCTGATTGCTAAGCCAGGGGCTCCTGGGCTGAATTAAAATGTTGATTAATATTCAGCCGGAGCCGCCTCTGATTATAACAGCAGGCGGATGGAAATGTCACTCTCCACGTGCATCCCCCACTTCCTCACCACGCGCTTCCACGGGGAAGCTGCTCATCCAGCCCGTGATCAGCAAGTATTTATCAAGTGTCTGCTCTGTGCCAGGCGGAGCCCAGGGGCTCTGACTTCTGGGGTTCATGTTCTGGGGTGTCAGTTCTCTGCATATGAGGAATCACAGGGAGAAGGTAGGCAGCCTGCATACAAGGGTCTCAGAGGGGCTGCCTCAGCCACTGTCCACACACACGCACGCACACACAAGCATGCACGCACACACATACACACGCACACATGCACACACATATGCACACACACATACACAAATGCACACACATACACAAGCACACACGCACATACACAAACGCACACACACACACACACACACACACACACACACACACGTGCGTACCACTTCAGTGCAGATGCCAGGCCCCACACCATGTGGTTGACATTGCCACCCTCGTCTTTACACCTCAGGGAGCCTCTAACCTGCGGCATTTTACAGATGGGGACAGAGGCACCAAAGCATTGGGGCTTCTCACCAGAGCCGTACAGCCCCAAGACTGACCCAGGCCTCCTGATTCCTGGCCTCCCCTCAGGATTTGTCTCAGCCGGGCCTGTCCCTGTGCCCCAGGACCACCTCCACTTCCGGGGACCAGGGAGCAGGACTTCCCAGTGGAGCAGGCCAGGAGCACTTGCTGATGGGTCCCTGTCCCCTTCCCCAGGAGTGGGTCACCAGCACTGAGATCCTGATCTCTCTGGACCGGCTCAACACATTTGGAGACGACATTTTCAAGGACCCCAGGGTGCTCCAGTCTTACTACTACGCTGTGTCTGACTTCTCTGTGGGCGGCAGGTAAGGCTGCAAGCAGGCCGGGAACCGGGGGAGGCCGAGGGACCAGCCCCATCCTTCTGAGAGCCGCAGAGTTGGTAAGGTGCCTGGTGTGACCCGGATGAGAAGGGGTGAGCAGCACCCAGCCCCCTGCCGGCATTGGAGGCCTTGCTGCCGGCTCCATTCTGCCTCCACAGACCACCCCAACAGGTCCCCACATCACCTAGCCCTCACCGGGAAATGAGAAGAGACAGTAAGTTCCTACCCCAAGCCTGTGGCGTGGAGGACATGAACCCAGTGACTCTCAATAAATACATCACTGTACATCAGAATAAAAGGCCAGAATGGCCTCAGCGTCAGCTCTGCAGAACAAATGATGGGGGACACAAGACAGTCCCGGCAGAAGCTGAGTCTGAGGACAGAGAAGACTGTGAGGCTGGAGTGAGAACAGGGCTGTGGGCAGAGTTAATTCCCGTCCCTCTGCCACTAGGGAGTCATCGAAGGCCTCAGAATGTCAAAACACTCAACCCCCGTTGTTCGTTGATTTCCCCCACCGCTGTGACAAAATGCTTGACAAAGACAGCTCAGGGGAGGGGAGACTGACTTTGGCCCACCAGAGCAGTTTGGGGTCCAGTCCATCAGGATGGGATGGCCCAGTAGCAGGAAGTGAAGCAGGGAGGCTCAGCTGACTTCCTGCTGTTATCCACTCTGCGACCCTAGCCCGGGGATGGTTCTGGTCACACTCAGCTGGGTGCTTCCTGCTCAGTTAGCCCTCATCTAGAAACTCCTCTAGAGGCACGCCCAGAAGGTGACCTAGGTCCTGCCAAGTTGACGGTATGAGCTGCTGCACCTTGGTATAGCAGTATGGGAAAGGGTGAGAAGATGAGGGGTGGAGACAGGGTGCTGGGACCATGCGGGCACGGCCAGGGCCAGGAGCCTGGGATGACAGCTAACTAAGATGAGAAAGTAGCTCCAAGTGTGAGTGAGAGGCTGTGGCTGTGGGGAACGGTGAGGATGGCCCCCAGACGCTGGGCTACCATGATTCATGGGTGCTTGGGTGATGTTAAAGACAGGGAAGTCAGGGAAGAGCGCGTGCCCAACAATTGGCGCTTTGAGATGCCTGCTTCATGGAAGACCAGGTGTGAGGGAACCCGAGTGGACTCTGGTGAGGAACTTCAGATGAATTCTCTGATGTGCGAGCTGGATCAAACCTCCCAGCCAGACTCCAAACACGGTGCCCATGACCTCCATCTGCTACGCTGTTGTCAGGGCCTGCAAGCCAGAACACATCTGGAACACAGCTGTGGGACCCAGACCACCCTTGGCTCCACAGCTGTCTGTGAAGGCTGCCTTCAGGAAGGAACAGCACCTTTCGCTGGGTCAGAAGGAGTCTGAGGAGTGGGGAGCTTGCGAGTTCCCATGACCTCCATCTGGTGCTGGTGTTAGACTCAAACCTCCTGGTCACAGTGGAATGTTGCTGCACCCCCTGTGCCCGTGAGCAAGCAGTACCATACTCCCGTGTCACCCAATTAGAGATGGCACAGGGGGCCCTGGAAGTGACCAGTCATCCATCACTGCCCTCTGAGGACAGAGGGAGGCTGGGACTTGTCTTTGGGGAACCAGGATGGGCTCTGGCTTATAGCTTTGCTTCTTGGGTCTTCCACTGTTGTGTTCTGAGCCTGCTTCAACATCTGGGAAGCTGGGGTACAGAGTCCTTGCCACCTCCAAAGACTCGAGCAAAGTCTGGAACTGTTTGCTCTGTCTGGGACCATCTCAGTGCAAGCCAGGAGAAGGCCACGGTGGGCTCTGAGCAGCGAAGGATGTTGGCCACAGAAGGTCAGTCTCATCCAGTTCTCCACATTGCCCACCCCCCAAAGCGCTTCTTGGTTCTTGCTGAATTCACCCATCTCTTGACCTTGTGGGTGTCATGAGAACATAGATTCAGGGCTGCCTACCACGGCTCAGACTCTGGGGACTTCTTGAGAGCTGACCCCTGTACGGGGCACCTCTTTCTTACCCTTTTAGACACGATTGCAGAATTACCTGTCATAACCTCAGTCCCTAAGAACTGACCCTGTGACCACTTGTCCACCCCCACCAGGGGACTGAATTGGCTTCTCCCTGGGTCCCAAGACCCCTGAGCTGGGACTCCACCTAGGCAGAGACCTTCTGTGACAGCCACTTACTAGTTGGCAGCCACGGATGGACAGCCTTCCAGGCCTCAGTTTCCCAGTCTGCTCAAAGGGGACAACAGGAGGTTGGTGAAGACAGGTGTGCTCGTTAGTTAGTCAACACAACACAGACTGGAGTCATCTGGGAAGAGGGACCCTCAACTGAGAAAACAGCCCCCTCAGACTGTCCTGTAGAGAAGTCTCGGAGACATTTTCTTGATTTGATTGATGTGGGGGATCCAGCGTACCCTGAGTGGCGCCAACTCTGAGCACGTGGTCCTGGGCTGTATGAGAAAGCAGGCTGGGCAAGTCATGGGGAGCAAGTCTGTAGGCAGCCGTCCTTCATGGCCTTCCTTCAGTTCCTGCCCCTAGGTTCCTGCATTGACTTCCCTTCATACTGGGCTGTGATGGGGATGTGTGAGGTGAAATAAACCCTCTCCTCCCCAAGCTGCTTTTGGCTGTGGTGTTTATCACAGAGCAGGAAGCAAACTGGGCAGCAGGGTTCATTCCATGGAGCATTTGGGAACCCCAGTGCACTCTTTATCACAACCCCCAGGTATGTAGTCGGGGCTCAGGGATCCCCACACTTGCGCCACAATCAAGGGGTGCCTGACAGTGACACCCTCGCTTCTCGCAACGTCTGTGGCAACTGTCTCCAGGTCCCCCCTCCTGGTGCTTTCCTCAGGTGCAAATGCAATGGTCACGCCAGTGAGTGCGGCCCCGACGAGGCTGGTCAGCTGGTTTGCCATTGCCAGCACAACACCACGGGTGTGGACTGCGAGCGTTGTCTGCCCTTCTACCAGGACCGTCCGTGGGCCCGTGGCACTGCAGAAGACGCCAATGAGTGTCTACGTGAGTGTCCCTCGGGCACAGGCTAGTGATGCTGGCTGGGAAACAATCCCCCAAACCTCACAGCGGGGCCTGCTCCTGGGTGGGCCTGGCAGGCAGTGTGGAGTTCTGAGCTCTGAAGGAGAGTTAAGGGAGGCTGAGGGGAGCACCAATCCTCCAGGACAAGTCCACCCAGGGAGGCGTCTGTGGTCGGAGGGCAAGAAGGTCCCCAAACTAGACTTAACCCTTTGTTTTAACTGTTCCAACCCTGGCAGCTAATGAAATCCAGTCCCCCACCCCCACCCACAGGGCACTGACCGCCTACCCCAGCCTTTCCCACAGTTCCCCACAGTCCCCAGAAGTCCTTTGATGTTCCAGCTGTGTGTGGTGTGGCTCTGCCTGCCTAACCTCAAAGAGACACTGGTAAAGGGAGAAGGGGCCCTGGAACCTTCTATAGGGATGGTGGGAAGGGAGGAGCCTTCCCAGGGGGAAGTACCGCTGCACCCCACTTTCCCTTGTCCGGCTTCATCTCTCCTCGCAGCCCTCTGTTCTGCCTCAGGCTTCATGCATGCCGTGCCTGGAGCCAGACACAGAAGTCCACATATATATATGTGGCCCCGTGGCTTGCCTCCTGGGCCTGGGCCGCAGTCTGCCTGGGGACCATGAGAAGAAATCAGCTTTGTCCTCGGAACAGACAGCTTTTTCCTATCTGCAGTAGCTGCCCCAGGGGGCGAATGCAGAGCTAAGTTCCTCTTGGCTTGCTGGCCTGCCTCCCCCAGGGAAGCTGCATTGCTGGCTCTCTGCTTGGCCCAAGCCCATGCCTGTTTCTATGGTAGGGATGTTACATGCCAGACAGCCCCCCTGCTGTGTCTCACATCTGTTCTCATAGTCACCAGTCTGGATTTTCATGCCTGACCCTTCACTTCTGACTCCTAGCCCAGGCAACCTCTGAACCCCCAATTTTTTTCTCTCACGTCTCCCGAATTCATCCCTCCTGTCTCTGGGCAGCCCTGCTGCCTCTCCTCTGGATGCTGTCTCTCTTCTCATGGCTGTCTCTAGCCTCCAGCCGCCACCACCTCCAGAGAATGGCCTTCACAGAGTGCCCTCCCCTCATTACACCTTGCCCCTCCCTGAATATCTGGGCTCCCAGCCTCCTGGTCCCTCTCTTTCCCGGCCACCTTGCCACATGCCAGTCACCTCGCGGTATGCCCATCCGCTGCCCATCACATGGCCTGCTGTCCACAACCAGCCTCTTGACACACACACATACACACCCAGCAGACACTGCTTCTCTGGTCCAGACCTTCTCCTCCTGGCCAGCATTGGCTTTCGGCTCCATTATCTCCCGTATCCCAGAAGTTCTCCTCCCGGCCAGCACGGGCTTCCTGCTCCATCATCTCCCCTATCCCAGACCTTCTCCTCCTGGCCAGCACGAGCTTCCCGCTCCATCATCTCCCCATCCCAACACGTTTCTGACTCCCTCCAGGAAGACCTCAGTTTGCAACATTTATTATAGGGACCACCTAGTTCTTACAGAGAATCCTGTTTGGGAATATCAGATGCCTGGGCTCAGTGGCCTTGGTCACGCTGAGCCTGCCGGCCATCCTGGACTCTGGCCCTTGGTGTTAACCACTTCCTGTTGCTTTTACAAAATGCCTTACACAATAGGATAGGGAAGGAGAGGCTTGTTTAGGTTACAGACTGAAGGTGCCATCCCCTCGTGATGGTGGCAGGATTGTGAGGCACTGGTCACATCGCTTGTGCAGCCAGGAAGCAGAGACTGGTCAATGTTGGTGACCAGCTTGCTTCCAAGCTCCTTTTCTGGTCCAGGACCCCAGCCCAGGGCATGGTGCCACCCATATTTAAGTTGGGTCTAGCCATCTCAGCCTAATGTAGAGACCACTGGGAGGTTTGTGTCCTCTGTGATTCTTGGTCTCCTCAGGTTGACAGGATTAACCAAGCACACCCTCTCTGAGATGCCTGCTCCAGAGAGCAGAGCCCCTCCCCCCGCAGAGTCTGTCACTCATGCCCATGACCTCCATCTCTCACAGCCTGCAACTGCAGTGGGCACTCCGAAGAGTGCACGTTTGACAGGGAGCTCTTCCGGAGCACTGGCCACGGTGGGCACTGCCATCACTGCCGTGACCACACAGCCGGGCCACACTGTGAGCGTTGTGAGAGGAACTATTACAGATGGGGCCCAAGGACACCATGCCAACCCTGTGACTGCCACCCAGCAGGTGAGTGGCCCCAGCATCCCCTTTTCCCATCTCCCATCATCCTCCTGCCTCCACTGCCCTGTGTCCCTCCTCCCCAGGCTCCCTGAGTCTCCAGTGTGACCACTTGGGCACCTGCCCCTGCAAGCCCACAGTGACAGGTTGGAAGTGTGACCGTTGCCGGCCCGGGTTTCACTCCCTCAGCGAGGGCGGCTGCAGGTGAGGATGTGGGGATGGGTGGCCTGTGTTGACCATGCTGTGTGTTTGGGCTAAATCAGACACAGAAGGAAAGAATGCTAGCTGTCCCCACTCTACACCTTCGTCTCACGTGTTCTCATCCGTAGCTTCCAGACCCCAGACTTACGAGAACTAGAGCTGAAGACAAGGAAGAACTAAGCTGCCCGGTGGGGGTGGGATGGGGGCGGGGCTTGACCTGGGAGACCCAGTGCCAGGAAAGGAACAAAGTCCCAGGTTAAACCTGAGAGTGAGGCCTGGTGAGTGAGGGACACAGAGACACTCCAAGCGTCAGGTGAGGCTCAGGTCTGGAAGAAGAAGGCCTGGTGCAGAGGGGGCCTTGGGGGGCTGAGGGCTGTTGTGAGCAGGGAGCCAAGGCAGGAGTGGGGCTGGCTCAAAGGAGGGGGAGGAAGCAGGCAGTTTCCAGAGTCAAGTCTGTGGTGACAGAAGACTGAGGAGGAGGGAGGAATGGAGGCTGGTCCTTGTGGCAGAGGGCCAGGTGGAAGCTGGGCAGGGAGCCAGACATTATATACATATTTAGGGTGTGTGGTGCCTGGCCATAAGGAGGGAGACCAGCGAGGGACCAGCAATCTGCCACAGGCTGGATCTTAGGAGAGGGGCCAGACGCTCACGGTGGAACCCACAGTGAGCAATACTGCAGACTCAGAAGGACTTTGTGGGTGTAGTCTTACAGAGCGTAGGCTGGCCTCGAAACCACTACAGCCAGCAGTGGTCTCCTGTCAGAGTTAGAAAGGGACAGCTTTATGTGGTGCCAGGGAGTGAACTTGGCTTCACACTTTCTAGACAAGGACTCTACGGTCCCCTAGAAGCACTTTTAAATGGACTTGCCAGGGCTGAGGAGATGGCTCAGTAGGTAAGGTGCTGCTGCGCATGCATGAGGGTGTGAGTTTAATCCCCAGCCCCCAGGTAAACCCACAAAAGCCAGGTGTAATGGTGCACATCTGTAAGCCCAGTGCCAAAGGCAAGAAGGCCGGCAAAGGCAAGCGGATTGCAGGAGGTGGCCGGCCAACCAGTCTTGCCAAACTGGTGAGCTCCAGGTTCAGTGAGAGACCCTGTCTCAAAAAAATAAGGTGGAACGCAAGAAACCTAACTTCAGCCTATGGCCTCCATACATACATACACACACTTCCATGCACATGTGTACACACACAAGAAAGAACAAACAACATACATGAACTTGGATCTAGTGAATAACAAACACTGTCCCCATACATTTGAAAGACAGCAGAAGTGTGTTGGGTAGACATGGTGCACAGAAATGTCCAGTGAAGCCAGGACCAGACCTCAGTGGTGGAGTAAATGCCTGCCCAGCATGCAGAAGGCTCTGGATTCCATTCCCCAAACAACAAAAACCAAAAATTCTGGAACTGACTGACCCTGGCTGCTTCCCAGGTCTTGGTCTTGGGACCTTTGCTCATATTAGTCCCCTCCCCTAGAGCATTTCCTTTTACCAGCCCCACCTCCTTGGCTTGTGTCACCCACCGCTAGCCACTCTCCAGTCCTCAGCTAAAGCGCCCATTGCTCCCCGCCCTGCTCCCTCCCACTCTGCAAGGCTGGACCAGATGCACCTCCCTAGTCCATCTCCTTCACAGCACACAGTGCAGGGCAGGGGCTGCCTGTTGGTCTCTTCTCACTGGATCCTGGGGTCCGTGAGAACGGGAACCTTGTCTTAGCAGACGATGAGTGGGTCCTGGGGTCCGTGAGAACGGGAACCTTGTCTTAGCAGACAATGAGTGGGTCCTGGGGTCCGTGAGAACGGGAACCTTGTCTTAGCAGACGATGAGTGGGTGGGCGGTTGAGTGAGTAAGTGGAGATGAAGAGACGATGAGCAGAAGGGTGGGTGGTGATGGAGGTGGGTGGATGATGGAGGTGGGTGGATGATGGAGGTGGGTGATGATGGAGGTGGTGGACAGATGCAGGAGAGAATGATGGGTGAAGCTAAGGGATCGAAGGATGAATAAACAGGTGGATGGATGGATGCACCAATGGAGGGCAAGTGGGTGGATGCCAAGAGCGTGGGTGATGGTGGATGGACAGATGGACCAGTGGAGGGGTGAATAGATAGGTGGACAGTGGGCAGATGGTAAGTGATAACATGGATGGGTGGATGGATGGATGAGTGGATGGGTGGATGGATGGATGGATGGATGGGCGGATGGATGGATGGATGGATGGATGGATGGATGGATGGATGGATGGACAGGTGTGTGGATGCACCAGTGGGAGGGGTGGGTAGGGGCATCATTGCATGGGTAAACGAGGCACTTCCTGATAAAGAAGGAAGGATGACAGCAAGCACGGTCTCTTGGACAGGCCTATCCCTGTTTCCTCCTGAGCAGGGAAGGGCATGGAGAGTTCTGAGGAGGGACAGTCCAATCTGGGGTTGCTCAATAGAGTGTGTTTTCTCTGTTTCTTTGGCAGACCCTGTACCTGCAATGTTGCTGGAAGCTTGGGAACCTGTGACCCCCACAGTGGGAGCTGCCCCTGCAAAGAGAATGTCGAAGGCAGCCTATGTGACAGGTGGGGTGCCATCTACAAAGAGCTACCGGAAGTGATGCACCCAAGCTGTGTAGTAAGGGGAAAGGCAGGGCAGGGTCCTCAGGGACTTGGACAAGCCTGTCACCCCAGGTTCTTTCTGAAACCCCAAGGGCCTTCTACTCAGGAAGATAGCCAAAGGCCCCGTAAGATACTCTGATCCAATGCCACTGAGGGTTTCTTAGCTTAGGAAATACATCATTGCTTCACGATCAGAATCCTGGAAACAAACTCTAAACAGATAGGAAGAACATGCCTAACTCAGACAGCAAATACCTGGTGTCATATTTCAGCTATTTTGCCTCACATCCATGGTAGATGTCACAGCTGTGACAGTCCTCCCATCTCACACCAGTGGCAGACATCACTAATGGAGAGCTGTTGCAGCCCTTCCATCTCACACCAGTGGCAGACATCACTAATGGAGAGCTGTCACAGCCCTCCCGTCTCACACCAATGTAGACATTATTACTGGAATGCAACAATCTTAACCTTAGATCCTTCTTAATAAATTGCTCCGAGAAGCCCCTACAAACTGAGCTAAGACAAGAGTCATCCTGAAGTCTCAAAGCAGGAATTATTTGAATAACAAAATTAATAAAGATGCGATTGCATTATGAGCCTAAGAATGGGGCAGATATCTTTAATGCCAGTCCATGATTGGCTAAATAAACCGATGACAGTGGGCAAATCTTCCTTCAGAATTGTAGATGACGGAGAGGGTGGAGTGGGAATCAGCTTAGAAGTGGCACACCCCAGTGACTGCCCTGCCAACAGCAGCCATGAATGCTGGCATTAATGGAAACAGGCATTTGCATAGCCTCGAGATTCAGCTCTGGAAATAGTTACTAATTACAATGGTGGCTTCAAGCCGATTGCAAGCAAGTTCTTTGATGTTTTCCTTCCTGGAAGGTTTTTTTTTTAATTGTTTTGTGGGGTTTTGTGTTTTGCTTTTGAGACAGGTTCTCACTGAGCAGCCCAGGCTGGCCCCACACTATTAGACAGGTTCTCACTGAGCAGCCCAGGCTGGCCCCACACTATTAGACAGGTTCTCACTGAGCAGCCCCGGCTGGCCCCACACTGTTAGAGCTCTGCCTGCCTCTGCCTGCCTCCTGGGTGCTGGGATTAACTGTCATGCTTCTCTCCACCCTCAATTGTTTTTTTTTTTTTTTGAGACAGTGTCTCAGGAGGCCAGGCTAGCCTTGAACTTGCTGTGTAGCTGAAAATGACCTTGAACCCCTCCTTGCCTTCACCTCCTGAGTGCTGGGGTTACTGGTGTGTACCCCACTTCTAAAGACTAATCTGAGCCGGGCAATGGTGGCGCACGCCTTTAATCCCAGCACTCGGGAGGCAGAGGCAGGTGGATCTCTGTGAGTTCGAGACCAGCCTGGTCTACAGAGCTAGTTCCAGGTCAGGCTCCAAAGCCACAGAGAAACCCTGTCTCGAAAAACCAAAAAAAAAAAAAAGACTAATCTGCAGCAACTGTTTAGACAAGAAACCTGGTGGGCAGACGGTAGCCGGGAGATGATGACCGGAGGCTGAGACAGGAGGACCATCAAGAGCACAAGGCCAGACCAGAGTATAAAATAAGACCCTATTTCAAAACCCAAGGGGGCTGGAAGGATGGCTCCGCAGTTAAGAGCACTGGCTGCTTTCTCAGAGCACCTACATGGTGGCTCTCAGCCATCTGAAACTCCAGTTCCAGAGGATTCAACACCCTCTTTTGGGCTCCACAGGCACCAAACATGCACATAGACACAGTACACGGACATGCCTGCAAACAAGACACTCAATTAGAATTTCTTTTCTTTTCATTTTTTTTTCTTTTTGATTTTCAAGACAGAGTTTCTCTGTAGCTCTGAAGCCTGTCCTAGAACTAGCTCTTGTAGACCAAGCTGGCCCCAAACTCACAAAGATCCGCCTGCCTCTGCCTCCTGAGTGCTGGGATTAAAGGTGTGTGCCACCACCACCTGGTTAAAATTTCTTAAAAAACAACAAACAAACAACAACAACAAAACCCAAAGTCTGTTGGCCCATTTAGTGCTAGCCCTAGTCTACCTAGCAGGTTCCAGGGCAAGCAGAGCTGCCTAGTGAGACCCTGTCTCAAGCAAACGAACAAACACCCCACAGAAACGAAAGTGTCAAGATAACAGGCGAGGAAGAGGAGATGTTAGCAAATCAGAGGCGACAAGGGCATGGCTAAATGCAGTGTCAGGTCCTGGAGCAGGGGAGTGTTAGTGAGAAAGGAAAGAAACCCTGACACAGCCTGGGGTTAACGTCGGGTGATGCTGATCTCTTGGCTTCGAGGCTTTGTATCAGCAGCAGAGACACTGACCCAGCAGGCACGGGACTGTCTGTCCTGTCTTTGTAATTCTGGTGATCCTAAAAGGATAATAAAAATTGAAATGTTCTCTTAAATTTCCCCAGGATTCCGAACAGTCTGGTTGGATCCCAGTCCTATTGCATCCTGGCTCAGAGATGTGACCCCGCCTCTCTTACAGATGCCGCCCTGGAACATTTAACCTGCAGCCCCACAACCCGGCAGGCTGCAGCAGCTGCTTCTGCTATGGCCACTCCAAGGTGTGTGCCCCCGCTGCCGGTTTCCAGGCACACCACATCCTCTCAGACTTCCGCCATGGTGAGCAGTGCACAGAAGCTGCCTTGGGGGCGGGGGTGTTCCTCCCCTGGCAGGGGTTCTCCCTTTGGAAGCTAGGATGGGGACAGCCCTTCCACCAAGGATCCTATGCCCTAGGCCACAGAGCCTAGGCTGGTAGTGTGAAAGGTGTCTTCCAGGACATGCCTGCTGCCCCTCAGCTCCTTCCCCAACCTCCAAGGCTCTATCCTCAGGGTGGTACTGGAAAACGGGGTGTGTCCACAGGCACCCTGAGTCCTGTGGACAGCCTCCATTCACCCCCAGGAAAGTTAGTCTCCCTTAGCATATCTGAGTTCCAGCTTAGGGTCTTGGCCTCCATGTATTAAGCACCTGCTGTATGCCAGGCCCTGCTGAGCTCCATGTTCCAGGAAATCTCAGGATTGCTGTAGGCAGGTGTTCTCATTCCCATGTTACAGACTAGATCCAGGCCTGCCTGAGATTGGTTCTGGCAGCCATGGTTGTGTGTTTGGAGCAAGGGAGGTGTGGAACTCCAAGCCCTGCAATCCATCAGAGCTAGTGTGCCCAGCCATGCTCCTCGGACCATTCCCGGACTCCTGAGAGTACAATCTGGAGACTGGTCTTTGGGCCTCCAGAAAAGGGGCAGTGCGCCCTCTGCTGGACACCACACAGAAAGCAGGACAGCTCGTGGCAGTGGCTGGCCAGAATCTAGCATAGTGCATAGTCTCTATAGTCTCAGAACCCTAAGATAGCATGAGAGGACTTGGGATGTGGTTGAGTTGGCAGAATTCTTGCTGAGAACGTGCTAAGTTCTTCCAGGATGTGGAATCTCTGCCCTACCTCCGGCCCAGCCTAGTCTTCAGAGAGTGGTCTTCCCCATTCCTCTCTGAGACAGGGTCTCATCTAACCCAGACTGACTTCAAACCCCCTCCCACTTTAGAGCCCTGCGGGACTTGTCACTGGAGACTAGCCTTTGGGGTCTCGCGGTTGGGGCAAATAGTCTGTCTTTGGTGTTTAGGAGCTGACGGTTGGCAGGCCAGAAGCACGGGGTCATCAGAGCGTCCTCTGCAATGGAACCGGAATGGGATCCTCCTGCAAGGAGAGGAGGGACTCTCAGCACCAGGTAGGTAGCGGTCCCTACTGATCTCACCACCCAGGTTTCTGCGAGCTGCTCATAATATACAGTACCTTAGAGTGGATGAAGTCTAAAAGACAGGTTAACTTAAGCTCGGTTCCTGTACGTCTTGTGGCATTCCTGTAGACAGGATCCTAAGGCGGCACACGGCACCTTGTTCCTGTTCCTATGAAGTCCCCTACCCAGATCAACCATGGGGACCCCACCCCAGCCACTTTGCGTCATCCTAGCCATCTCCCAGAGACCACTATCCCAACAGTGCAGCCCGACTAAATTTTCACTTCTAAACAGCTTACGAGAGTGGTTCAATTTCAGTGCGTGTTTAGGAGTACCTGCCACAACAGGGGCTGCCAAGTGACCGTGGTCTCCATGGCTGAGAACACACACGCTTATTCTCTCGGTGTCACAGGCTGTGTTCCTTCAGGCAGCCCCAGAGCTGAGACCATGGCTCCCTTGCAGCACTTATACCCTCCCCGACCTTCAGAGCAGCGGCTTACATTCACAGCTGACCGCCCTCCAGGGGCTAATCCTACAGACCTCCCCTGTAGGACTAACACCCCCCAACTCTGTTTACAGCCTTAATCCTTTTTTGCCTGGCCAAATCCCCTCTGTGAAGACCCATCTCTCAGGGTTTAGGGTTGGGGACACCTTTGGGTACTGTGATTCTTCAATCAAACCACAGCATATGTGAGCTCACCGAAATATCGTGTGTGTGTGTGTGTGTGTGTGTGTATGTGTGTGTGTGAGAGAGAGAGAGAGAGAGAGAGAGAGAGAGAGAGAGAGAGGGAGAGAGAGCGAGCATGTGTGTGTGCATGGCATGTGTGTGTGGGTGTGTAATGCATGTGAGTGGGCACAGTTGTGTGTACAGGTGCAAGTGCATGAGGAGGCCAGAAGTTGATGTCAGGGACCATCCTCCACCCCTCTTCACCTTGTCCACTGAGGCAAGTTTCTCAATCAAGCCCAGAGGTTGCTGATATGACTAGTCTCAGGCAGGCCTGCTTTGTTCTGGAGATGTCCTATCTCCACTCACTAAGGCTGGAATTACAGTGGCCACCATGTTCACGCAACAGTTACATGGGTTCTGGGAATCCAGACTCTGGTCCTCTCACTTTTGTGTCTGCGCTGTCTCCAAGCGCTGACCTCGGATTTTTCCACCCACCACGGCACACACAGTTTGGATGATTATCGTTGCGGTCGATATAGACGCTAGAATCAAGCATGTGGCGCTATCAAAGCCTTTCCTTCTTGCCTTTAGAGAAGTTCCTGGGAGACCAGAGACTCAGCTATGGACAGCCAGTCATACTGACCCTCCAAGTACCACCTGGGGGCTCCCCAACCGCTGTGCACCTGAGACTGGAGGGGGCGGGCTTGGCTCTGGCTCTGAGGCCCTCCAGTTCACCCAGGCCTCAGGACTCCAGGCAGCCAGGACAGGTTCAGCTCCGGTTCCTGTAAGTGTCTCCCTGTCCTGAGACACGGGAGTGGCATGGGGAGGCAGGGTGATCTCCGAGGGCTAGGCACACTGGAGGCTCTTGGCACTAACTGTCCGTACATCAGGCTGTCCCACTGACTTCCTGCTTCTTCCAGCCTGCAGGAGACCTCTGAGGAGGCAAACATCCCTCTGCCTGCCTTCCACTTCCAGCAGCTGCTTGCCAATCTGACTGCCCTGAGCATCTGGACCAGGGGCCAAGACCGGGGCCATTCTGGTCAGTATGATGGCAATCACCCCTAAAAACTCGGGTCCTGGCCCTGCATTACTTGTGGAGGTTCTCACAGCATGGATTCCGAGACGGAGAAATCGGGACATTTACACAGGCAGAAGTGCATCTGAGGATAGAGGCAGTTGCTGGACTGTGGGGAACCAGGAGGCCTGGGGGAGGAAGGTCCTTGACAGAATCCAGCGCCACCCCATCCTGCCATAGCATCTTTTTGTGGGCACTGTCCCCCCTGCTGGGAAATAATGGCATTGCAAACTTGGAGACTTAGCTCACCCAACTGTTTTTAAGACAGGGTCTCACTGGTCTTGACCTCTTCATCTTCTTCCCTCTGACTCCCAAGTGCCAGGATTGCAGGAGTCTCACTATGTAGACCTCTCTGATCTGGAACTTATTAGGCAGATCAGGTTAGCTTTGAAACTCTGAGGATTAAATTTACCACCATGCCCGACAATATTTATTGACTTGTATATATGTATATTTATGGGCACACATTTATGTGTGTACCACATGCGTGAGGGGCAGAGGACAGCTTGTGGGATCCTGCGAATTGAACATGCGTCCTCAGGTTTAGTAACTTGGGTTCTTAACCTGCTGAGCCATCTTGCTGGCCCCAAGCATATACATCTTGTAGTCTGGGCTCTCTCTGCCCCACCCAGCTGGATTAATCAAGATCTAGCAATGCTAGCCTTACGCATTCTAGCACTGGGCACTGGGTCTAAACTCATCTGCTCCCGTTGCTCTTGATTCTTTTGCCTGTCATTTTTAAAGCTACACTTAAAACCTGGCGTAATAGCCATGCCTGCGATCCCAGAACTTTAGAGGGTCGGGCAAGAGGATGGCAGTCTAAAGACGGCTGCACCGCAAGACCGTGTCTCAAAAAACAAACAAAATTAACAGCTGACTCACAGGCCACCTTCATATGCGTGGGCCTGTCTCTCAGGTGCTAGGGAGACGTGCATGGAGGCCTCCCCTTCTCTTCCCATTCTACAGGAGCAGTAACCCTCTGTGAAGTCCAGCTCACCTCGGCCCGGGCCCAGCAAGGGCTTGCCCCAGCAGCCTCTTGGGTGGAGTCTTGCTAGTGTCCCCAAGGATACACAGGGCAGTTCTGTGAATTCTGTGCCCTGGGATACAAAAGAGCGACACCTCGTGGGGGTCCCTACACCAGCTGCATCCCCTGCACCTGCAACCAGCATGGCACCTGTGATCCCAGCACAGGTGAGTCCCGGAATCCCGTCCCAAGGCCCCCTCGGCTGTATGTCCAGCACAGTGTGATGAGGCCTGGCCGTCGCAGGTGGCTCTCGGGGGACATAGGCTCTGGTCTGTCCTTACCATGCTACCTGGGCTTCTCCTGAACGGAACACGAGTGCCAGAGACTTCAACCATCTGCAGAGGCCTGCCGTCAGCCTCCATGCAGGTGTCTGTCTACAGCCCATGGGCAGGCCTGGGAGGGGCTCCTTGGGGCCTTACTACTTGGCAGGTTCTGAGGAAAGGCAGAGGGATTATCAGCACAGATCTTCAGAGGGTCATGCAGGTGACAACAACTCTTGGGTGTCAACCCCGAGCCACAAGCCTACCATCCCCTTCGTTTTGACTGTGACCTTGGGAAAGTCACTCCCTGGACACCCCATCCTTACAGTTCAGATGATAATAGTGTGCACACAGCCCAGGCTGTGCAGACAAGGCCACATGAAGGTCAGTGAGTCGGGAATTGCCCAGACTTCAAAAAACAGCCCTGCTTTGCACCAAAGCTCAGGGGTAGCTGACCAGGTGACCTGAGGAGTCTTTTCCTGGGTGAGGCAGATATGGGAAGCCATTCCCTCCCTCCCTGGGGTCGGCACTACATCTTTGACTCCTGCAGACATCGGAGTGGTACGTTCTCCATTACTGTCCCATTCTCCAATACAGGGACCTCATGACCGGTAGGTAGGTGGTAGAGACACACCTCCCACCAACCCCGAGGTGAGAGGGTCATTCAGTAGAGCTATTCCCCACACCTGGAGAGGAGCAGAAGCCTCACCGGGGGTCACGTGACCAGGGGCTGTTAGGGCACAGACACAGGCTTCTCCACCTCTGTACCACAGGCCTTTCACCCTGCTGTCCCCACGGAGCAGATGGGGTCTCTGTCACTCTTGAAACACAGAGCATCATCTACCCATCCTGCTCCTGGCAGACATCACAAGTCGAGCCTAGATGAGGCCTCCTAATCCTTTCCCACTCAATGCTCCCTGCAGCTGCTGTCGAGGAAACAGAATCTTCTCATGAGATAGAACGGGAACTAATTTTTCACCCCCACTGAGCCCTTGACTCCGCTGCAACTTTCCATTCCGTATCAGCAAGCCTTCATTTGTAAAATAGGTCGGAGAAAGAAGCCTGAGGGTGTAGAACTGAGGCAGGAGCCCTCCCCTGAGCTGCTTATCCAGGGAATGAAGATCCCTTTCTTTTTCCTTCCAAACCTGGCCAGACACTGCTGGTTGCTTCCTGTAGGGGGCAGTCTTGCCTTTCTTTCTGTTCCCATGGCCAGTCCCCTCTAAGATCCCAGGCACTGAGCAGACACCAGGGGCTGCTGGATGGAGAAGGGTCTGTGATGTCCCGTCCAGGCACCAGCAGGCAGAACAGATTGGTCATACTTACAATCGGTGTGTACTCATGGTCACTGCTCAGAGTGAGCCCCGCGAGGCTGGAAGCCTGGGCCAGGGCCTCCTTAGGTGGCTCCTTCAGGATGAAGAGGACACAAGGGCAGAGATGAAGTCCCTTCCACTACTCTGAGATACAGACAAGTAGTGGAAACGTACCCCAGCTTCCTTCCTGTCTCTAGTACTCCGTCCTTGTCTCCTACAGACATACCTGTTGTGTGGCCTTTCCATCCTCTAAGACAGGGATCTGAGGTGCAGGGTGGCCACATGGCCAATAGGTGGCAGAGCTGCACCTCCCACTCACCAAGGGATGGGTTAGATGGTTTTCCCAGCTCACGAAGGCAAGGTGGACATGGCAGTCTGGTCCACCTGGACCCTTCATCGCCAGACCCTGCTGCCTCCGGTTCTTACTAGTCTTCCAGGATGTGCCCCATGGCTCCTCCACCAGGATACTCACTGTTGTCCAGGCCAGTGATTCTCAACGTGTGGGTCACAACCCCTTTGGCAAAGTTCAATCTCAAAAAAAAAAATTTACATTACGATTCATAACAGTAACAAAATTACATTTATGAAAAAATACAAAATTACATTTATGAAGAAGCAACAAAAACAACCTATGGCTGGGGTCAACACAATGAGAGCAACTGTATCAAAGGGCCGCGGCCTTAGGAAGGTTGAGAACCACTGCTCTGGGGAATTCTGGGCCAAGGTGATGGACAGGTATTTGTCTTGCTCTGTAGGGATCTGCCTGTGTGGCCACCATACCGAGGGTCCTTCCTGTGAGCGCTGCATGCCAGGTTTCTACGGCAACGCCTTCTTGGGCCATGCTGATGACTGCCAGCCCTGTCCGTGCCCCGGCCGATCAGCCTGCACAGCCATCCCAGAGAGTGGGGAGGTGGTGTGCACACACTGCCCCCCTGGCCAGAAAGGTGAGTGGCCTATGTCTATTCCCCAGGGAGATCGAACCCGATGCTCCAATCCTGCCCCAGCTCTAGCTGAGCAGTCTGGGTTTGGGTGTGATGGGGGGAAGAGCCTGACCTTAGGTGTGGCAAGCTCTGGGAACAGTGCAGACCTACCTGGGCCTTGGCCGTACAGGACTGACCCTTGAAAGACCCTTATAATGGCCTTAAAGCTCGATTCATGGCTTAGGATGAAGCCAGGGGACCCGGGATCCTCACTGGGAAGATGGGAAACCTCAAGGCAAACCTCTCATATGTCAAAGGAAGGCTCAGCTCATAAAGTGCTTGCTGAACAAGCCAGGTGGCCCTACTCAGACTCAGAACCCATTGTAGAAAAAGGCCGAGAGCTGTGGCACATGTCTATACTCTAAGCACTGGGGAAGCAGAGGCAGGCTGTGAGTTCAAGGCCGGTCTGGTCCTCAGAGCGAGTTCCAGGACAGGCTCCAAAGCTACACAGAGAAACCTTGTCTCAAAACAGAAAAAAAGAAAGATTGATTGAGGATGATCCCCAACATCTACTTCTGGTCTTCATGCACACACATATGTATACACACACAAACATACAGGCACGTGTACACACACATGCACACAGGCACAGGTATACACACACAGGCACCTGTTCACACACATATACTTGCAGACACGTGTACACATACACGGATTTTCAGCGTTAGTTTTTGGAAAGTCTGTGGGTAACATAAGGGACACAGAGCCTTCCCACACCTTCCCATGCTCCTGCCGCAGAGCTGATGCTACTCCCAGAGGTGCATTTAACGGCACTTGAAATGTCTATAAGCCCCACAAAGTCACCCACTTAAAGTGGACAATTAAATGGCTATTGGTATATTACATCATTAATTTTTTATCATAATAAAACCTATATCGTAAAACTGTCCTCCTTGGCCATCATTTTAAGCACGTGATTCATTGGCCTCAGGGGCCCTGGCATCGTATGCTGTCCCCTGCCACTGTGCAGTCCTGTGAGCTCTGTGCCCGCTGAGCTGTTGTTTGATGGCCTCTGTCCCCCCTCCTCCCCACTATTTGACTATGTCTCTGAATTTGACTCTTTGGGGTCTTGTCTAAGCAGAAGCGTGTGTTGTCCTTCTGTGTCACTTGGCATCTGGCTTTGTGTGGGACTGGTGTCTGCCTGAGTGGCCTTGTGGAGTGTTCTGCTTGCGGGAGTTTCTTCGGAAAGCAGCTTCCTGTCCTGCAGTCGCCCCAAGGTTGGCTGGATGGACTCTCAGGGAACACCGAGCCTGGTGTGTGTGGGAGAGTCCCACGATTAGACTCTGTACCCCACGGGCATCACGCTTGCCCTGTGTCTCTACCCTCTCCCCATGTCTGACCCCGTGTGGCTCCCAGAGCCTTCAGAAGTGAATGAAGCTCTGACAGTGAGAGCGAGAGGCTGGCATGGTGGGCGGGACATCCCTGAGGGGGCACATCAGGGAGCAGCTGCTGCCGCCAGAAGGAACCATCCCGGCAGTGCCTAGAGTGACTTACAGATCAGGCCTCCCATTCCGCATCACCTCCCGGGGCCTTCCTTGGGAGAGAGTAGCATGCAGCTTGTCTGGTCATCTGAACTGAGCCTGACCGACATCCTCCTGACGCTGCGGAAGCTGCTGGTGAGGGGGAAGGATAAAGGTGGACACACTGGTACCTGCTGCTGCTGAGCGCTTAGCGTCGAGTGCTTTGCACAGATAACCACTTGGAGGCCTCGCAGCAGGGCTTTGGGGCGTCTAGAGAGTTGTCCTCACTAGGCAATGAGCACCGTGGCTTGCCCGGGGCCACACCAGGGGGTGGTGCTCTGGGACCTGGCTGCAGGCCAGCTTGAGTCATAGACCCTACTCAGCTTCCCAGAAAAATGACAGATTTACTGCACCCTGTGAGCCAGAGCTCCAAACCTGCCCCTTCCACACACAGGACGGCGCTGTGAGAGCTGCGAAGATGGCTTTTTTGGGGATCCTCTGGGACTCTCTGGAGCCCCCCAGCCCTGTCGCCAGTGCCAGTGCAGCGGGAATGTGGATCTCAATGCTGTAGGCAACTGTGATCCTCGTTCTGGCCACTGCTTGCACTGCTTGTACAACACCACAGGCGCCCACTGCGAGCACTGTCAGGATGGTTTCTAAGGGAGCGCCTTGGCCACCAGGCCTGAGGACAAGTGTGCACGTGAGTACCCACTTCCCAGACCCATGGGGTAAGGCACGGGAGCCACTGTCCTCAGCCCTCATTCAGGACCCACACAGGATGCTGAGAGAGCTACCTTCTCTGTTCTCTAGAACATCAGGGTTTGTTCTTTCCCCAAGGCCTCTTCAGTGCTGGTGCCTCATAAGCTCTGATCCTACAGTGTCTTCCCACCCCACCCCCCCGTTCTGCTCATTCAGCACCGTCTCGCATCCGCCCTTAGCACATAAGGCTGATGCAGGGATGGGGAGACCATGCCTCATCTCATGTGCCCCCCTCTCCCTGCCTGGGTTGCCCTCTGCCTCATGCGTGTCAGAGGGTCACAGCCTGCATTTGAATCGGGCTCCTGGAAGTCCTGCATAGGAGCAACTCGGCTTTCCCCCTATCCGTGTCCTCAGAGCCCTTTCACATGGCGCCGGCCACACCTCACTGTGGCTGTAGGGGTCCCTCTAGGAAACCCCATTCTGGAAGGAAACCGCACTACGGTTCCCGGGAGAGCAGAAGTGCCTGGCTCCAGATGGGGCTGCCAGGCTCTGCCTGTGTTCGGCAACCACATCGCTGGCCCTCTCTCCAGCCTGCAGGCTTGAGACAGACTTGGGGAAGAGCGGTCTACACCCCTACTCTTCTGGGCTGGCTCACCAAGGACCTGGCAAATAGGCTGAGACCCAAGCTTATCCCTCAAGCCTTTTCCAGGAAGGTCTCAGGAACCTGGCCTGTGTGACCATCATTTCTGGGGCTCCCTTGGCTTCTTGGCTTCTGCCTGTACCCCTAAAGTTTAAGCAAATGATTCCAACATCCTTTTTTGAAACCTAGCATGCAGCTGTGACCTGAGGGGCTCAGTCAGTGAGAAGATAACCTGCAACCCAGTGACCGGCCAGTGTGCCTGCCTGCCTCACGTTACGGGGAGGGACTGCAGCCGCTGCAGCCCTGGCTTCTACAATCTCAAGTCTGGAAGGGGCTGCCAGAGGTAGGGGTGAGACTGTGAGTGCCCTGGGAGGGGTTGCCAGAGGTAGGGGTGAGATTGAGAGTGCCCTGGGAGGGACTGCCAGAGGTAGGGGTGAGGCTGTGAGTGCCCTGGGAGGGGCTCTCAGAGGTAGGGGGTGAGGCTGTGAGTGCCTTGGGAGGAGCTGTCAGGGGTAGGGGTGAGGCTGTGAGTGCCCTGGGAGGGGTTCTCAGAGGTAGGGATGGGGCTGTGAGTTCCTTGGGTGTTTTGGCTCAGGGAAGAGGGCACCATGGAGCCTCAGGGAAGAGCCTGGTCTGGAGTGTGTTGTCCCAGGTTCTTTTCCACATCCACAGTGCCCTCCAACAAAGGGCATGAAAACTCAATCTCTGGGTATCAGATTCCTGGTTCTGCCAGCCCTGGAGGCAGGTCAAGAACAGCCCAAGGGCTGGGCAGGTGGGCAGATGGCTGGTTTGGTCAGATTCTCTGTCTCAGTGACAGGGACCACTGGGTGGCCTTTTGACCACAGCTCCTGAGACAATGTGTCAGCCTCAAAGGAAGACTCTGGGGAGGCTGGAGAAGTGGTGACTGTCCTTGTGTGGCTCCTTGGCGCTCTTAGTGTGGGTTTCACAGTGACTTTCCAGACCCGTGACTTTCCAGACTCGTGCCAGTGGTGTGTGCTCCCCTGGACACAGGCAACCGTCAGAGGCTGGGTTAAAGGGTGGCAGCACCAACCTTCATACTTGCTTCTCGTTGCAGCTGTAACTGCCACCCGCTCGGATCCTTGGAAAACAAGTGTCACCCCAAGACTGGCCAGTGCCCCTGCCGACCCGGAGTCACAGGCCAATCCTGTGACAGATGCCAGCTGGGTTTCTTTGGCTTCTCCATCAAGGGCTGCCGAGGTGAGCAAGCAGCATCCCGCTGGGCCGTGGGAGGGAGGGCTGAGGTCTCCTGCTGGAGATGACCACAAGAAGCAGGGATGGTGGGGGAAATGATGGGTAGCTGCTGGCTGGTTGCCTGAGCCTGGCCTTAAGACCATGAAGTGTGGGCTGGAGAGATGGCTCAGTGGTTAAGAGCATTGCCTGTTCTTCCAAAGGTCCTGAGTTCAATTCCCAGCAACCACAACCATCTGTAATGAGATCTGGTGCCCTCTTCTGGCCTGCAGGCATACACGCAGACAGGATATTGTATACATAATAAATAAATAAACAAACAAACAATTAAAAAAAAAAGAACATGGAGTGTATGAGTGTGAGGAAGTTGGTGTTGTAAGTCACGTCTGTGACCACTGAACTCTTGTGTGTCATCAGACACCATGTCACATGTGAGCCACTGTTTCCTCACTGTACAGCTAGTACATTGGCAGTTCTGGGGCTCTGAAAACATTGCAATAAGTAAGCCTTAAGGCTAGGTTGCCGGCTCTAGCCTTCTAACCTTCTAACAAGTCTGTGGCGTGGAGCTCTGGAGTCTGCATTTGAGGACACACGGGGGTTGTGGGAATTTTCAGGTCGGGTTTGAGGATTCGGGGTCGGAGGTGGGAGATGAGTCTGAGCGCTTCTGTCCCCCAGACTGTAGGTGTTCCCCGCTGGGCGCTGCTTCACCTCAGTGCCACGAGAACAGCACCTGTGTGTGCAGGCCCGGCTTCATGGGCTACAAGTGTGACCGCTGCCAGGACAATTTCTTCCTCGTGGATGGTGACACAGGGTGCCAGGAGTGTCCCACCTGCTACGGTCTGGTGAAGGAGGAGGTGAATTGCTATGCTTAGACGCCCCCTCTTTCAGGATCATTTCACACCTCCAAGGAGCACCAACTCCATGCTGTGGACCAGAAGCTGCCTGCTCATTCACAGACCTCGAGCCTTTTATTCCCACTGGCCACCTTCTCCTGAGTTCCCCCAGCCTCCTCATTCCAATTCCCCTGACCTTCACCTGGTCCTCCTGTCCTGGACGAGCCAGAGGTGGCTCTTGTCACCTCCCTTCCTAGCCTCCCAGGGCCAAGGTCTCATACCTGTATAGCTCAGTAGGGGTAAGATGACAGGACACCCCAGGAGCAACACAGACAGCATTTCAAGCAGGGAAGTGTGTGAAACCAAAGTCAGGAGATGGAGCCTGAGAGATCCCAGGCAGAGGGCATCGTTATAAGTGTTCATATTCTACTCCAGAATAGCTAGTTCCAATTTTCTAACCTCCTGGGCCCGGTGGGGCTCTGAAAAGGTACAGTGCTAAGGGAGAAAGTGGCGTGTCCTGAGCTCTAGCTACGAGCTCAGAGAGCAAGCAGGCCGGGCCTGTAAGCAAAGCCATTTCCAGTTCTGCAGGACAGCGTGCATTCTGCACCACTGGGTAAATCAAGCTACCACATGGCTTCCTGCTGCCTGCAACAGTTTTTCTTCCAGACGAGGTCTCAATCCATTTGTCATTGAGAAAGGGATAAAGGCTGGGCGGTCATGGCGCACACCTTTAATCCCAGCACTCAGGAGGCAAGAGGCAGGCAGATCTCTGTGAGTTCGATGCCAGCCTGGTTTACAAAGTGAATTTCAGGAGAGCTGTTATACAGAGAAATCCTGCCTCGAAAAACGAAATCCCAAACCAAAACAACCAAAAATACAAAACAAACAAACAAAATATAGCAAAGAGGGTGGTAACTAAACAGAAACAACTTCCAAGGTTGACCGCTGACCTCAACACTTGCACCCCCCCCCAGGCAAACATACATGCATATGTGCACATACACGCACATATACACGCTGGAGCTTACACACCAACCTTCACGAAGCTCCTTTTCTTGCCTTCTGTCCCTCCTTCAGTAGCACAGGGGTGTGGCTGTCAGGGTGGCAGCAGGAGCTAGGCTGAGAAGGGAAATAGCTGGTGAGCTGGGCAGACAAGGCAAGCCCTAGGGGCTAGCGAGTCCTTAGCTCTGAGACACAGGCAGGATTGGAAGGGGAGAAACCATGGAAGGGGTGAACTAGGCAGAAGCCAGGGACAACTCCCAGAACCTAGAGATCCCAGCCTTGCACAGTTTTTCTTCCCATTTGTCCTGGCAGGCAGCCAAGCTGAAGGCCAGGCTGATGCTGATGGAGGGGTGGCTGCAGGGGTCTGACTGTGGCAACCCCTGGGGACCACTAGACGTTCTTCAGGGAGAAGCGCCTCGGGGGGATGTCTACCAAGGTCACCACCTACTTCAAGGTACAGGGGAAGGGGAGAATGGGAAGTGAGGGTGCTGATGGAACCCCGGGCTGGCTGGACATTTCGGGAGTTTTTAGGATAGTCATGACACCCCATAGGCCTATTCTCCCATGTCTCTAGCACATCCTGTGAGGATATTGATATGGGTCTCAGTCCCCTGCCTCATGGGTCTGGGTCCCCCTCCTCCTACCCTGCACTGATCATAAACTCAAGGCAAACCAGGTCTGGGTTCATTCATTTTAACCATTTAACCACACCCTCGCCTGGGGCGCTGTTCCAGGTGCTGAACCAGTAGAGTCCTCCGGGGTTTTGGCTTTTGGCCTATTTGCTCACTGCCCCGTCTCCAGGCTGTGTTTGGCAAGTGGCAAAAATGATTAGCAACTAAGAAAAGCAGACCTGTCATTAAACCAGGTGGAATGTGGCCTTGGGGCACAGGAAACTTCCAGAACGCTGAGACTGGGTTGGTCCCTTTGTACAGCTGTGTTTGCAAATAGCTGTGCTTCAGCCTCTGGCTAAAGGTGAGGCAAGTCTCCTGCAGCTGTCAAGCGAGGGAGCAGTCAGTTGGCGCTGTGTGAACCTCAGGGAAGAGTCACAGCCCTTAATTGAGTTGGGGGTCCACTGCCAGCCCAGATTCTGGAGCTACTCACTGTGGTTTCTCAGGGCCTGCTTCCAAGTCTCTGTGTGTGACTGATTGGCTAGCCTTCTCTGGGCCTCAGCCTTGGCAGCTGTCAAATGGGCAACTTTCTCCTTTGGAGTACTGGAGGCAGGGGCAGAGCGGCACGGGGTGCCCAGCTGTGCTCAGGCAGGTGGATGTCTCAGACGAAAGCCTAGTGAGGCGACTTTCGTGCAGAATCTCAATCAGCGACGATCACTGATTCACTGGCTCCCCACAGAGGCCAGGGAAGCCTTCCTGGAGCAGATGGTGGACCTGGAAGGTGCCATGAAGGCCACGTGGAAGCAGTTGCAGGTGCTGAGAGGAAGCGTCCGCTGTGACCAGCCTGGAGCTCAGAAGACCTGCGCCCAGCTGACGGAGCTGGGGGACACATTGCGGTCCTCAGAGGAGGGGGTCCTGCGTGCAGCCTCAGCTCTTCCTTTTCTGGTACCATGGTCTCCCCTGAACCCTGCTTCCCCTGAAGCCTATGTAGGAATCTTTACCCTAGTCCTCCCCTTAACCATTTGCCCATGGTGTGGTGTATGCCTTAAAGGATGCTTGGTGTCACTTGCAGATCCCATCACACTGGGTCTCATCTACTGAGAGAGAAAGGCACTGTTTGCAAAAGTCAAATGTATTTGGAGTAGACAGCAAATGCATAATGGCAGGCGTGTGCAGCCATGGTTAGCTTTGTGCATTTTATAAAGTTATAGACACCATCCTATTCTACCCAGTCAGTTAGCCAGCTGTGACCCTTGACCTTCCAAGATGAGCCTCAGTTTCTTCCTCTGTTCTTTAAGGTGAATCTTCAGGAAGGATCCAGCCCACCCGCCAATTGGAGCCATCTGGCATCAGAGGCCCACATCCTTGCCAGGAGGTGAGCCCTGGGGCTCCAGGATGTTGGGAACTGTGCCCATACTGATGACATGGGGGCCAGGCCTTCTTGGACAGGCTCCAGAGTCAGGGTTGGTCTCTAGGAGCCCAAGAGCCGCTCAGTGGGGAGTAAATATTACCAGTATGGGAAGGGGTTTGGTGGAGTGGAGATGGAGGTGCAGATGTGATGGGGAAACGCTTGCTCAGTGGAATACATCTCAGCATCTGGTGGCTTTAAAAAAAATTCACAAGTTTATTGAGATGCAATTCACATGGGCCTGGGAAGACCAATCTGGCCTTGAACTTGGAGATTTGCCTGCCTCCTGAGTGCTGGGGTTAAAGGTGTTCACCACCATGCCCAGAACATTTTCCTCTTTTTTTTTTAAATTTATTTTTGGGCTGGAGTGATGGCTCAATGGTTAAGAGCATGTATTGCTCTTCTAGAGGACCTGAGTTCAGTTCCTAGCACCACAATGAGTAACTCACAACCTCCTGTAACTCTGGCTCCAGGGGATCTGACACCCTCTCTTCTGCCTCCAAGGGTACCTGCACTCACATGCACACAGATACACATGCACACAGACTCACGTGCACACAGACACACATGCATACACACTACACACAGACTCACATGCACAGACACACTGCACACAGACACACATGCACACAGACTCACATGCACAAGACTCACATGCACACAGACTCACATGCACACAGACTCACATGCACACAGACACACATGCACACAGATACACATGCACACAGACACACATTCACACAGACACACTGCACACAGACACACTGCACACAGACACACATGCACACAGACTCATGCACACAGACTCACATGCACACAGACACACATGTACACAGACTCACATGTACACAGACTCGCATGCATACTTACAACTTAAGAACAGGCAAATAATAAATATTAAAAATAAACAGTAAATCCACCCATGGGATTCTAACCACAGTTAGAAGTACAGGACTGTGTGGACCTGGAGGCTCAGGTAGGTGTGAACTGATAAACTCTGAGCTGTGCATGAACAGAAAGTGCTCTTAACTGCTGAGCCATCTCTCCAGCCCAGTTTTCCTCTTCAGCTCGAGGAACCAAAGTCACTTTGGAGACGAGAAGACAGATGCAGAGAATCAACTGACTCCCTCATTCATAGACACAGCTGGAGAGCGATAGAGTTTAAGTTCCATCCCAGGCCAGCTTGTCCACTCTCTTTTGTGATGTCCGTAGGCCGTGTGGTAAAAGGCCTTGGGCTAGGAGCACAGGTGTGACGGATCTATGAGAGGAGCAGGAAAACAGAGAGTCCCTGCTGATGCCGCAGTGGCAGGTGGGCAGAAAGGAGTCTGTCCTGCAGGAATCTGGACACAGCCTCTGTGTGTGCTCTTAGTGATTGTCATGTCAATTCACACAGCCACCAGGACACAGCCACCAAGATCGAAGCCACTGCACAGAGGGCTCTGCTTGCCTCCAACACCAGCCGTGAGCAGCTGTGGGATCTGCTGAGAGGGAAGGAGGCCTTGGCAGCCCGGCGGGAACTGGAGGACAGGTAAGGCCTCCACAGCTGTGTGGAGAACCTTGGGCTTAGCTTCCAGAAGCCACAGAACCAGGCAGAGGTCAGTGCCTCCAGAAGCAGCTCCTCTGAGCCTGAGCCCTTCAGGGAGTGTTGGGACAGCACTCTTGTAGGAATGGGGCTGTGGCAGAAGGGGTGGACAAGGTAGCTAATCTCTGCCCCACAACATTCCCTGAGGGCATCCCGTCAGCTGCAGAGTGGCCCCCTGACTCTCTTGTTGCTGCTCCCTGCCACCAGCTTCCTTCCCTGCCTCTGGGGGCCAGACATCTAGGCATCTCTGTTCAGCCTTGAGCTAGGCAGGGTGACGTCACGTGGTCCACCTCCAGAGCTGGCTGCTATGGAGTGGTCGCTCAGCTAGAGGCCTCACCATTTATCAGTGGAGAGTAACACACAGTATTAATTATACAAAGCGATTTAAAGGTGGACAGGTTTATTCTGCTCACAGTTCACGGGAGTTCTTCCTCCATGGTGAGGGAGACAATGTTCTTGGGCTTGGGGTTACAGCCTGTGCCCCAAGAAGCCAAGTTCAGTCACACATCCTTGATAAGCCAATGAAGAGGCCACAGTAATAATGAAAAGCAGAAAAAGGAGCTTTATCAATGTGGGTGCATTGGAAGGAGAGGCAAAGATATCTAGGGGAACTAGTTAGTGCCCCTTTGGGTCCTGAGGGGAGGCTAATGTCTAAGCAGTCCTGGTCAAGGTGTGGCCCTGTCCATGGGAGACCCGTCGTTCTTCTGGTTCCTTTTCCTATGATCTTCTGGGGGAAAAGAGCTTTCCCCTCAGGCTGGTTCAGATTGTAGGTTTTCCCCTCTGCATGGTTCAGACTGTAGGCTTTCCCTTCTGGATGGTTTGGTCCGTAGGCTTTCTCCTCTCCAAGCACTGGACTCCCTAGGGAATTCTAACTCTTGGGGTCCGCAGTTGCAGTAATCTGATAACGAAGTGAGGGACATGAGAGACTCAGAACATCTTCATCTCTCTTGGGCCAGTTACAACATGGCTGCATGAAAGGAAGGCATGGGGCAGGAACAGGAGGTAGCCTGGTCACATTGCACCTATAGTTAAGAGGCAAAGAATGAACAGGAGGGTAGTCAGGCTATAAAACCTCAAGGCCCTCCCCAGAGGGACCCACTTCCTCTAGCAAGGCTCCGTTTACTAGAGGTTTTGCAAATTTCCCAGTGCCTCCAAATGGGGACTAAGTGTTCAAACATATGAGCTTCTAGGGGTCATTTCACATCCAAACAGGAGCATATGTAAAGGTCGGCGGCAGGGCATGGGCAATCAAGATAGCAGCTTAGGCCGCAGTCCTTCCATCCCAGGTAGAGTCCCTGCAGCCTTTCAAGAGGCTCCAAGGGTCTGCAGAACGTGTCATCCTTGGGTGCACTGGAAACTGGAGCCTGGGCAGCATGGCATGCCCAGACTGAATAAGGAGGTAATGAGTTTGTTCACTTGAAAGCTTCAGAGATTGAAGAGATGGCTCAGCTATTAAGAGAACTTACTGCTCTTGTAGAGAAGCTAAGTTCAATTTCCAGCACCCACATTAGGTGCCTTACAACTACCTGGAACTCCAGCTCCAGGGGATCCGATACTTATCACCTCTCTGAACATCGGCACTCACAGGCAGGCAAACACACACACACCCTGAAAGCGGAAGATCCCAGCTAACTTGTCGGTTCCCTGAACATCGGCACTCACATGCAGGCAAACACACACACACAATCACACACACAAAATCACACACATATACACACACACCCTGAAAGCAGAAGACCCCAGCTAACTTGTCGGTTCCCTAAACATCTGCATTCACAGGCAGGCAAACATACACACACAATCACACACACACACACAATCACAAACACACACCCTGAAAACTGTAGATCACAGTCATTTTCCCAGGCCAACTGCTAGGTCCTGACCTGCATAGGGTTGAGGCTGTCAGGAGGTAGGAGAGGGCTTTGCAGGTTAACAGCTCCAGCCAGCGGTTCTGATAGAGATAGAGAGGGGTGTCCTAAACCCTGTTCTGTGGCTCATCCTAACAACTTGACCTCTTTCATTCCAGGTACCAGGAGGTACAGGCAGCCCAGACTGCCCTGGGCACAGCTGTGGCAGATGTGTTGCCCAAAGCTGAGAGGGCACTGACCACTGTGAAGCAAGTCATTGGTGATTCTTCCCTACATCTGGGCTTGCTGGTCACCACTGGAAGAATGGTCAGTTCAACTTCCCTGGAGCTCCTTGTGGGGTGGCAGTGAAGGTACTAGATCATGGAGAAGCCAGGGAGTCATGCAGAGGTGGTCAAGGATTCTTGTTAATTGGGAAGTGGCCTACTCAGACAGGCAGGGCTCAGCCAATCTTCCACACCAAGGCTGGTTACTGTGAGGTGAACAAGGACATCAGAGGGGTGGGGAAGATACACTTCCCAGTTCCCGCACCAGCAGTGACCTTGGCCAAGGATTTCCTTCCACGAGTCTCAGCCACCAGGGACCCTCTGTCCTGTGGACTCAAGTTCCATTAGCTTAGTTTTGGAGGTGGGAGCTGGAGGGCATCCAGTCAGCCCTTCATTCAACACTCATGTCTCCACACCCTGCCCAGCTTGTCTGTCAGGTAATCCTGAGATCTCCAGCCTCAGAAACCCAGCTTTAACAGGGCACTAAGCCAGCTCATCACGCAGCTCGAGGGGAGAATGTGTGCCCAGCATGCTCAAGGTCCTGGGTTCCACCCCCAACACCAAGGAAATCAAACACAGGAAACTATCCAAACGCAGTTGGGACACAGGCTGCCTGTGGCTACTGCCTCATGGCTTCCCCTGCTCTTCTCGGGTGCAGCAACCTGGATGACCTGGATACTGCCGGGGGCTTGGGATCACACACACCTCTGCCTCTCTAACAGATGGAACACCCTGCACTCTGAAGCACTTGGTCAAGGTTCAGGTGGAGGAAGAACTGTGGGCTTGAGGAGGGAAGCTCACCTTGCGAGGAAGAAGGCAGTCCTACCCGAGGGTCAGAACAATTAGCTGCAGTGTCCCAGGGCTACACAGCTAGAAATTGGTAGGGCTGGGGTCTGAGGCTCCAGTGACAGGTTCTCCAGCCTGACTTCTCTGCAACCCCCTTTGTTCTGCCACTGCCCTGCCCCTGGGGTATCTCAGGTGCCTGGGACAGCAGGAAGTACTCTGGGGCCAGGGTTAAAGCACCAGTTCTGGTTAGTAGTCACAGGCTGGCCCTCAGCACAGCAGGGCACAGACTGGCCCCTCAACACAGCTGGGTACAGGCTGGTCCTCAGCACAGCTGAGCACAGGTTGGCCATCAGCACAGCAGGGCACAGGTTGACTCTCAGCACAGCAAGGCACAGGCTGGCCCTCAGTGCAGATGAGCACAGGCTGGCCCTCAGCACAGCAGGGCACAGGCTGGCCCTCAGCACAGCTGGACACAGGCTAGGACTCAACACTGCTGGGCACAGGCTAGAACTCAGCACTGCTGGGTACAGGCTGGCCCTCAGCACAGGCTAGCCCCTCAGCACAGCTGGGTACAGACTTGACCTCAGCACAGCAGGACACTTTTCCCTGAACAGAAGATCTGGTTCTCAACCCTACCTGAACCCACAATCTCCCTGCAGCCTCAGAACTCCCAAGCCATGCGTCTGGACTGGAAGGTGAAGGCCTTGGAACAGAAGTTGGCTCAGAGGGAGCGCCAGGCCATCCAGGCTGAAGGAGCCCTGCAGGTGGAGGCTGGGGCAGCCCTAAAGAAGATGGAGCCCTTCCTGCAGGTCAATTTTGAATCTGGGACCTGGAAGAGGGAGGGGCTTCCCCCAAGGGAACCTGAGGTGGGGTGGGGTGGGGGTCAAAAGATGGAAAATAGCACTTGCAAGTCTCTGCTGCCTCCCTCAAAATGCCTGAGAGTTTTAAAGGCTCCAAACCACAGGAGGAAAGGCTGCTTGCTGAGGAGAGTGAAGGGGTGGAGGGAGAGGGGATGGACAAACAGGCAGACAGGTGGATGGTAGAAGCCATATCCATTTACCCCCTCAGTGTCAGTCACAACTGGATGGCTCTTGTGTCTCTTCCTCCCCTCTGCCCTTAGATACCCCATGTTCAGAGGCGCCCACTCTGAGCAGCCCGTGGGACTCAGTGTTAAGTCACATAGCCTGGTGTTCAGCCCCGAGAGATAGTACTAGATCATAGGGTTCTAGAATGGCGGTTTAACTAGGACCAGCTTGCTAACATATACAAGACTCATTCAAAAATAACTGTGCTAGAGCAATTTTCTTGGGAGATAATTTCAGGCTTATAGGAAGGTTCTAGGGACAGCACCCAAATCTCTCATACCCTTCCCACAGGGCCGTTTGATGTTAATGTTTAGCCAGCCACAGGGCAGGTGCCAAACTCAGGAGAGCAACATGACACCGGCCAGGATTCTATCCTACTGGCCTGACTCAGAATCCCCACAATGACAGTCATGGCTTCCCCAGAGGCCCCTCAGCTTCCCTACAAGTCCAGGAGACAAGGAAATACCTTTGAGGAGAAATGATGTACCCGAGGGTTGGACCCAGGGCCTGGCACATACCCGTTTGAGCCTTGCTGTGTTGAGGACCCCCACATAGTGTCCTCTGACCTGACCTCCACTCCCATCTAGGGTGAGGAAGCCAGGAAGGGAGGCAGCCTCCACAGCCCTTCTGGGAGCTGAGTACCACAAGCAGGGTCTACACTATTGAAGAAAATGTCTCCTTCCTCTATTAATCATAAATTAAGTCCACAGGGAGGAGCTGAACCCTGTGACACTGCCCCCATAACAGAAAACTGATGTTGAGGGCCCTAACTATATGCAGATCTTGTACAGATATGCATGGCTGCTGTGAGTTCAAGAATTCAAAGTTCATGCCAGGCCCTGAAGTCAGCTTCCTGTGACTCTTACATTCTTAGTGTCTTCTCTTGCACAATCGATCCTGAATTCTTTACCAGGTCGTCTCATCTGATGGCCATGGGGAAGTGATGGCTATTCTGTGAGGAGAAACTGTTTAATAGCTACGGGCTGACATCACATTAGGGACTGAAGCATGTGGTTGTCTTTGGCTCTAGTTTTCCCATCATTCTCCAGGCTTCTGAAGATGGGGTCTTCTTGGGATTGATGTGGGGTTTGGCATCCATCTAATCAGATCAGGGATCCTAGAATCAGGATGATCTCCAGTCATTGTCGTTTGAGGTTTGGGACCCTGTCCATCTGGGGGCCCTTGACAGGTCTCCAGGCAGCCCCTGCTTTTTCTCCTCTTTGCAGCTACGCAACAAGACCACAGCTGCCCTGACGCAGGCTTCCTCAGCTGTCCAAGCTGCCACACTGACTGTCATAGGAGCCGAGACTCTGCTAGCTGACCTCGAGGGTATGTGTGTCCTGTTGAGCCCTGGGTTCTATACAAGGACCTGACAGCCAGTTTAGCTCAGCCAGGGGTGCCTGGCTGCAGGGAACAGCAGCATCGGGTGGACCAGCCCTCTGCCTCTCAGGACTTCCATGCCGTCTGTCTCTCCTGTCACACGTGCCACTACTGGATTCTGGCCCCTGTGGCCACTCTAGTTAGCTCCCAGCATTATCAGACCAAGCCCAGAGTTCCTCAGGATCTGGGGGAAGAGAATCTGTTGTTACTGGCAGGGGTGTGGCTCAAGGGGAGCGAGCTGTCTAAAGTATGCAAGGTTCCAAGTCCCATCTTCAGTAGAGGTAAAAGCAAAACCTATTTTGCTCAGTTGGCAGGGTGCTTGCTGAATTGCAGAAGGCCCCGTGTTAGACCCCCAGCCCCAAATAAGCCTGTTGAGGTGGTGCACACCTGTAATCTCTACACTTGCGAGGATTAGGAGTTCAAATTCACTCTTGGCTACATAGTGAGTTTCAAACTCATGATACATGAGACATTGTTAAAAAAAAAAAAAAGCAACCCCTCCCACACTTGCTGGACGGTGGATCACACCTGTCCTCCCAGCGCTGGATAAACAGAGCTGGGAGGAGTGCCTCAAGTGTGAGGGCCCTGGGGCTACCATAGTAAATTCTAAAGCAGTTTAAGCTATTGAATGAAACACTGTATCAAAATGCCCCAGACAAAACAAAACTATGTGCTATAGTGTTTCAGTTTAGGGTGGCTCGGCTTTGTTGAAGGCCCAAACTCTTATGGAACTTAAAGAAAAATGAAGTTATACCCAGCATGGTGGCGCAGTCCTTTAATTCCAGCACTTGGGAGGCAGAGACAGGCGGTTTTCTGAGTTCAAGGCCAGCCTAGTCTACAGAACAGGTCCAGGATAGCCAGGGCTACACGGAGAAACCCTGTCACA